CACTAAAGCAAATCAAATGACCTTCCTGGTTTTTCAGTGCATATAAAAGTTACACTACACTATTAAGTGTGCAACCACATAGTGTCTAAAAAGCAAGGTACATACCTAAACTAAAAATACTTTTTGCTAAGGAAATGCCAACCATCTGAGCTTTCAGCAAGTCCTACTTTTTTTGCTGGTGAAGATCGTGCCTTGTTGCTGATGTTGATGGCTGCTGACTGATCAGGTTGGCAGTTGCTGAAGATTGGAGTGGCTGTGGCCAATTTCTTAAAATAAGACAAGTTTGCTGCATCGGTTCTCTCATGAACAATTTCTTTGTAGTATCTAATGCTATTTGATACCATTTTACCCATCAGGAGAACATTGTAATCAATCCTCTCAAACCTTGCCACTGCTTTATCATCTAAGTTTATGATATTCTAAATCCTTTATTGTCATTTCAACAATTTTCACAGCATCTGCGCCAGGTATAGGTTCAACCTCATGAAACCATCCATAAGATTGCTTGCTGATCTGTAAGTAGCAACTTCTCATCCATTAAAATTTTTTCATGAAATTACAGCAATCCAATCACAAATTCAGGCTCCACTTCTATTTCTAGTTCTCTTGCTATTTCCACCACATCTGCAGTTACTTCTACTTGAAGTCTTGAACCCCTCAAAGTCATCCCATGAGGATTGGAATCAACTTTCAAACTCCCGTAAGTGTTGATATTTTGACCTCTTCCTATGAATCATGAATGTTCTTAATGGTGTCTAGGATGGTGAATCCTTTCAAGGTTTTCAATATACTATGCCCAGATCCATCAAAGGAATCACTATCTATAGCAGTTATAGCCTTACAAAATGTATTTCTTAAATAATAAGACTTCAAAATTAAAATTACTCCTTGATCCATGGGCTGCGGAATGAATGTTGTATTAGCAGGCATAAAAACGTCTTGTATATTTCCATCAGAGTTCTTGGGTAACAGGTGTATTGTCAATAAGCAGTAATACTTTGAAAGGAATCTTTTTTTTCTGAGCAGTACTCCTCAACAGTGGGCTTAAAATATGCAGTAAACCATGTTGTACTGATGTGCTGTCATTTAGGCTTTGTTGTTCCATTTCTAGAGGATAAGCAGAGTAGATCTTAAGGGCCCTAGGATTTTTAGAATATAGGAAATGAGCATTGGCTTCAACTTAAGTCACCAGCTACATTAGCTCCTAACAAGAGTCTCAGCCTGTCCTTTGAGGCCAGGCATTGACTTCTCCCCACTAGTCCTAGGTGGCATCTTCTTCCAATAGAAGTCTGTTTCATCTACACTGCAAATCTGTTGTTTAGTGTATCCACCTTCATTATTTAGCTCGGGTCTTCTGGATAATTTGCTGCAGCTTCTACATCAGTATTTGCTGCTTCCCCTTGCACTTTTATGTTATGGCTTCGATCTCTTTCCTTAAACCTCATGAACCACCCTCTGCTAGCTTCAAACTTTTCTTCTGCAGCTTCCTCACCTCTCTCAGCCTTCCTAGAAGGAGAGTTAGGGTCTTGCTCTGGATTAGGCTTTGGCTAAAGGGACAGTGTTGTAGCTGATTTGACCTCCTGTCCAGACCACTAAAACTTTCTCCATATCAGCAGTAAGGCTGTTTTGCTTTCTTATCATTTGCGTTCATTGGAGTAGCACTTTTAATTTCCTTCAAGAACCTTTCCTTTGCATTCACAACTTGGCTAACTGGTCCAAGAGGCCTACCTTTTGGCCTCTCTCAGTTTTCAACATGCCTTCCTCGCCAAGGGTAATCATTTCTAGCTTCTGATTTAAAATAAGAGATGTGTGACTCTCTTCTCCTTGAACACTTAGAGGCCATTGGGAGGTAATTAATTCCAATATTGTCTGTCTCAGAATAAGGAGGTCCAAGCAGAGGAAGAGAGGTGGGGGGGTCAGATGGTTGGTGTAGCAGTCAGAACATACACAACTTTTAACATTTATCCAATCAGCCTGCCACCTCACTGGGTGCAGTTCATGGCACCCCCAAATAGTTACAATAGTAAGATCAAATATCAGTGATCACAGATCACCATAACAAGTAAAATAATGAAAAAGATTAAAATATTGCAAAAATTACAAAATGTGACACAGAGACATAAAGTGAGCAAATGCTATTGGTAAAATGGTGCTGATAGCCCTACCTTAAGGAAGTCTGCCACAAACCTTCAACTATAAAAAAGCAGTATCTGCAAAGCACAATAAAGCAAAATGCAATAAAATGAAAACTGAAAACCACAAAATATTTCTGAAGAAATGGAAGATGAAATAAGTAAATGGAAAGATCACCTGTGTTTATGGATTAGAAGACAATATTGTTAAGATGTCAATACTGTGCAAGGTAATCTACAGAGTCAGTGCAACGCCTAACCTATCAAATTCCAGTGATGTTTTTAACAAATCTAGAAAATTCCATCCTAAAATTCATATGGAATCTCAAGGGACCCCTAGTAGCCAAAACAATCTTGAAAAAGAAAAAAGTTGAAAGTCTCTCACTTCCTATTTTCAAAAATTTCAAAAAGCTATAGTAATCAAAACTGTGGTACTGGCATAAAAACAGATATCTAGACCAATGTAATAGAATGAAGGGCCCAGGAATAAGCCCTTGCATCTTGGTCAAATGATTTTTGTTAAGGGTACCAATACCATTCAATGGAGAAAGGAGAGTCTTTTCAACAAATGGTCCTAGGAATACAGGATATGAAGTTGGACCCTTAACACCATATACAAAAATTAACTTAAAATGGATCAAAACGCTAAACATAAGAGCTTAAAATATAAAACTGTTAGAAGAAAACGTAGTGGGAAAGCTACATGGGGGTGCACCTGGGTGGTTCAGTTGGTTAAGCATCTGCCTTCGGCTCGGGTCATGATCCCAGGGTCCTGGGATTGAGCCCTGTGTCGGACTCCCTGCTCAGCGGGGAGAGTCTGCTTTCTCCCTCTCCCTCTGCCTCTCCCCCCTCAAATAAATAAATAAAATCTTAAAAAAAAAAAAGAAAAAGATGAAAGAAAGAGAGGAAGGAAGGAAGGAAGGAAGGAAGGAAAAGAAAGAAAGAAAAGAAAGAAAGAAAGAAAGAAGAAAAGAAAAGATGAACCCTATCAACAGGGTAAAAAGGCAACCTACAGAATGGAAGAAGCATTATATATCTGATAAAATTATAAATCAGAAAATATAATCTGATAAAGAATATCCAGAATTTATAAAGAACTACAACTCAACACACAAAACCTAATTAGAAAATGGGCAAAGGACTTAAAAAGACATTTCTCCAAAGAAGATACAGAAATGGCCAATAAGCACATGAAAAGATGCTCCACATCACTAATCATTAGAGAAATGCAAAGCAAAACCCCAATGAGATGGCACTTCACACCCTTTATGATGATTATTATAAAACAAAAAAACAAGTGTTGGGGAGGCTGTGGAAAAATTCAAACCCTTATGCATTGCTGGTAGGACTGCAAAATGATGGAGGCACTGTGGAAAGCAGTATGGCAGGTACTGGAAAGTTAAACAAGGAATTTTCATATGATACAGTACTTCTACTTCTGGATACGTATATCCCCAAAAGAATTGAAAGCAGGTGTTACTCAGATATTTGCACTCCCATGTTCACAGCAGCATTATTCACAATAGCCAAAAGATGTAAATGACCCAAATGTTCATGGATAGGTAAAGAGATGAACAAAATATGGTATATATACATACAATGGAATACTATTCAGTCCTAAAAAGAAGGGAAATTCTGATGAGCTTTGAACACATTATGTCAAGTAAAATAAGCCAGACACAAAAGGATACGTGTAGAATGATTCCACTTATATGAAGTACTTACAGTAGTCAATAAAAACAAAGTACAATGGTCGTTGTTAAGGGCTGCAGAGATGGGGGGATAGGAACGCAGAGTCATTGTTTAATGTGCAGGGAGTTATAATTCGGGAAGATGGAAACTATGGACACAGATGGTTGTGCTGGTCACACAATACTGGGAACATATTTAATGCCAATGAACTGTATACTTAAAAATTGCTAAAATGGTAAATTTTATGTTACATACAGTTTGCCACAATGAAAGTATAAAACAAAATGTGAATTCAGCAAAAAAGAACAGAAAAGCGAACAAATAGAGTGACTCATAACATAGATTGACCTATAAACAAAATGTTAGCTCTAACAGGCAAAACCAAGCATGCTCTTTATAAATCCACAGAGCATGTGTGGTGGTTTCAAAAGAAAAAAATCACTCCAAAAATCAGGACAGTGGTAGTGTTATCTCTGTGGTCAAGGAGGGGGATACAACTTTGTAAGGACACAAATGTGGCATTTAAGGTACTAGCAAACTTGGGGGTCTTTACTTAGGCACTGGGTACATGGGTGCTTATTCTTGGAACTGTAATATATTTTATATAAATCTTCTGTATATATTTCACAATTTTTTAAAAAGGCAAATTGAACCCTCTCCCGCCCAAAACAGAAAAGAAAGCGAACCTTGTCCATGTTTAATTTCCCAGATGGTTCATACTTTGGCATAACATAAGACTGGAAAAATCTAATTAACACCACAGTGATTATTTTGCAGTCTTCTCTTGAAGATTTTCTTCCTCAAAATAGCATCTATTCTGTTTTCCTTCTCAGAAATAAAATGGTTCCACACACTTTATTCTCCCAGATGTCTTAAGACTATGAACCTGAACAGGCCTACTACATTAGGACTTTGGCCAGTAGTAACTTCTCACAAACCATAAAATTCACTAGATAGGAGTTAAATGTTCATATCAACTTGTCAGAACATTTCCATAAATAATGTTTATCTGGTAGATTTTTTTTTTTTACTGTGTTTAAAACACCGTTTTGATCTAAATATGATTGCTGTTCACATCAAATTAGCAATATCTAACCAATAAAATCTGAGCTCATTCAGAACTACCAGTTCCAACTGAAATTTTGGATCCCTAAAAATAAAATACAGACACACAGATAGGTATAGTACTTAATCGAAATATATTGTCTAATATCTACAAAGTGAACAATTGGTCTTAAGAAAGCAGACAAAAGGCACAAAATCAGTATTACTACAGAGAAGCATTCATGCTACTGGATTTTTATAAATATTCTGAGTGGCACAGTAAAAAATAAATTAAGCATTGAGCAAAAAATCAAATACTTCATTTTTTCCTTGCTTTATATTCTAGTCATGTCTTGACCTCATTTGTAAAGGCTGAGGACTGAAATTCAGCTGAAACCATGGAACGCTTTTGCAGGCTTTATGTGTGTGTCATTTAATCACAGTGGTTTTCTTGCCGAGTTTGGGTCAAACAAGAGAGGCGCACTTAAAAAAAAAAAACCCACAGGAAGTTCTTTTCTCTTTCCCCAAACGAAATACAAAATTGAGGCTATGGTTGTGCAGTTTTGTATATGCATGTGTGTATTTAACTTCTAAAGCCCTTTTTCATCACAAAAGTAGTGAAGTCTTCATTCTGACTTGTTTTCTACTGTAAAAGCAGCAGCTTCTGAAAAATGTCTAACGCTTTGCGCAGGAGAAATTGTCAGAAAGATTCTGGGGCAAGGACACGGGAGGCAAATTCCAAGATGGGCCTGCTTCTCCCAAAGATGCTCCATCTTGGAAGGCTCTGGCATAAACCTTTAACAGCTTCTTGCCCACTCACCATTCAGCAGGAAATAGCTTCTCTTTCTTAAGGACAAACAAAATGCTCAAGTGGGAAGAGAGGTGAGAATCACAACACTAATTGTGAAGTGACCACCACCTACACTTCTCCCAGGAATGAGCCACTTTCCACCATAGGGACCTCACCTGGGCCAAGCCAATTCACCTCTGTTTCGACAGGAGCTGACTACACGAGAATACTTTTGTGAGTGCAAAACATTTTTGGCAAAGTGAAAAATAGAAAACTTCAAACCTCATTGATAAAAAGGAGCTCATAATTACCCACTTAAATCTCGGTAAGTGCAATATTTACATGTGTAATAATACCTAGTAGACATGTGTATATAGTGCATGTGCGTGAACATACCGTACTGAGAGCTCACACACAGACCTGTGTGCACACACATGCCCCAAATGGCTCTTGAATAAACTCAATCCTGGAGTAGTTTGGTGGTGCATTTTTCACAGTATATCATTTCTCTCTCAGGTACCATTTCTTGAATGATATCAAGAGGTCTTAGTGAATACCAGCAGAACCTTGATACTGTACCACTTTAATTCCTACTAAAACAGGGCTATTTCTGAAAGCTCTACACCTCCACCCCATCAGTGCGCCTTCCAAAGAGGATTGAAGTATACCCAGCCGTCACCCTGTAAGAGAAGGAAGGAGACATTTTATGAAGACCTCTCAGCTGGGCAAGGGGAGAAGCAAAGATATTTCCCCAGACTCTGCTATGTTAAAAGCCGAGGACCAGGCAAAGCAGTGTTCCCTTAGCAGCCGTTCAGGACTGCCATTAATGCAGCTCACAGCCACGCCATGCTGGTGGTCTCACTACCCCTCCTCGGCCTGGCTGCTTTGTAGATACCATAAATCTTCACATCTTGGCATTTCAGGAGGAAACCCCACAAAATAACCAAAATAACATAAGAAGGGGGGCTTTGTTGGTTTACATCACGTAAGATTAATTGGCCAGAAAAGCCCTTCGAAACAGTGGAGCAAGAGAAAAAAAAGCAGACAGAAGAGAGAAGGCAAGGCCTGCCTCTGAGGAATTTGCCCAAACCAGTGATTTAGAGCCCACCAGCCTGGAGGGGAGTGCCTAACCCAATCAGCACACACAAGAAATGATACCAAGTATCAGAAAAAGGGCAAGAATCAAAATGGTATACACAATCTGGGGTTTACCTAGAGGGGGATGTACTGAATGGTAACGATTCTGGTATTGGGATGATTTTTGTTCTTTACATACCCTCAAGCTTTCTATTATAAACATACTGGCTTTTTATTAAACCCCAGAAGAACTGTATGGGTTTCTGAGGGGTTTTTTGTTTTGTTTTGTTTTGTTTTGTTTTGTCATCTTTTGGGTTTTTCTGTGTCCAACTTTTCCCAGAAGCCAGGCAAACTAGTTGTCTCAGAGAGACCAGATCCACCTCACAAAAGGATCCTTGACTGATTTTGTGATGGTTAATTTTGTGTATTAACTTGATTGGCCATGGTACCCAGATTCAACATTATCTCTGAATGTGTCGTGAGGGTGTTTTCAGATGAGATAATAAGCACTCAGTCAAGCTGATTTCCCTGCCTAGAGTGGCTGAGCATGATCCGATCCACTGAGCAGGCCTGAAAACAAAAAAAGGTAAAGGAAGGAGGAATTCAGCTCCTTTTTTTTTTTGTCTTCTTCTGCCTCACTTCTTGAGTTGGGACAGTTCATCTCCTGCCTTTGGACGCAACTGAATTCTACCACTGGCTTTCCTAGGGTTCAGCTTGCAAACGGCAGATCCTGAGGCTTTTCAGCCTCCGTGATCTCAGGAGCCAATTCCTCATAACAAATCTCTACGTATTTACATCTCATGCTTCTGTTTCTGTTGTTTCTCTGGAGAACCCTGGCTAATACAGATTCGCCTTACCTAGGCAAGGCTTCCCAACGTGGTTCTCGCTCAGAGCCTCATAAGGCAGTCTGCTCAAGCAGGCTTCCTGCCTGAACCAGAATCCAACCTTGAAGTGTTGGAGTTCCTGCCTGTGGGGAGAACAGCAGCTGCTTCTGTTCCTGCCCAGAAGTCCACCTCAAAGCTCCTAACTCAGCCTGCCGCCTGCCTGCTACACAGAGTAACCCTTCCTTGTAGCTCAAGTCAGACGCTAGTTGCACCTGGGCCAAAAAGCCTCGACGCACTTCGATGGGCTCTCAGGGTTGCAACTTGCTAAAATTCCTTGCTCCCATGTGAATACGTGATTTCTCACTTCTTGTGAAGAACGGGACGGTCTGTGATCGCCTGGGGGCTAAGTGGCCTCCACTCCCTTTATGGACTCCTGTGTCCGCCCCAGTCCTCACGGGTCCTTCTCTCATTGATGCTGCCAGGCTCCTGAGGGCCTGCATTCAAAATTGTGGCTGCCACACTTTCGTTATTTCTAATCCTGTTCTCAGAAAGCTTCCCAACTGCTCCACAAACAACTTGAAAAGCTAAGAACCTCAACGGGGCCCAGGGTACCACCTTGCCCGATTGCCCAGGGGGTGGGCAGCCTGGTGGCTATTACTCTTCCAGTGTCGCTTTCCCGGGTGACAGCAGAGGTACTAAGGACCCAGGACTCATGCTGGCCTTTCCTGGCATGTCCATCCCCTTTGGTCCATTCGAGGTGCTTCACAGCTAATTTGTTACTGACAATAAAGTAGCAGGGGGTGTGGTTTTGGTTTTGTTTTTTTTAAACAGGACAGCATCCAGATCTCTACCCCATTCATTCCTTGCACTCCCCGCCAGGCTGATGGGCTACTCTGACATTAGATGTCAGAGGGGAAGCGTCAGGCGCTCTGTTGTGCCCCTAGGACGGCCTGGCCCAAAGCTGGGGCTGAGCAAAGCCACCCCAAACCTTCCCAGGACCTCCCCTCCCCCATCCTCATCCATCCAAACGGCTGCATTGGCAAGACAAACCCATGCGCCCCTCGCTTGGAACAAGTCCCCAAAGGCAGGTGGCAGAGTTACCTCCTGGATGAAATACTTGGGCTGCCACGGTGTGTGGAGGTTCTCCCGTTTCCGTTCCTCCACCCGCTGCTTCTCCTCCAGGCGCCGCTTCTGCTCGGTGGCAGCATCAATGTTCCCCAGCCGCAGGTATCTGGTCACCTCCTGCCAGAGGTTCCTGGGGATGCATGGAGGAGAGGAAGTGGTCGGACAGGGGCAACTGGCTTGACAAGGGCGGTTCTCAGCAAGAACTGGGGTGGGGAGGGCATTTGGGCAGGGGGAGCGCATCCCAGGTGCCTCAAAGACCCCTAGAGCCAAGATGAGAACCCAGGGCTAACAGGTGCCCAAGTTTCCAGTCCCCTCTTGTCCTGAGCAGCACGCATCTCTCAGGGCTCTGAGTGTCTAGCAGTGGAATCTAGTCAGAACAGCAGTGGTCAGCAGTATGAATACCCTTCTGTCACAACTGTCACAGCAGACACACTGCATATCGTGTTTCTAACACTGTCGTGTATCTTAGCTCATTTCACCATCACAACAACCCGGTGGCATGGATGCTCTATTACCATCCCCATTTTAAAGAGAAAAATAAGATGCACGTAAAGTGACGGGCCCAAGGTCAGCAAGCTGATAAATATGAACAATGGCTGCTGACCTACAGGGGAACCCGGTATTAGGAGTGGTAGGCTGGGGGGAGCGGCCGTGTGTGTTTATGTGGCACGATCCATCACGCGCCCCTGTCTACATGGAAAACCACTTCTCTGCCTCTTCATTCATTCACTGCAGAGGGCAGCCTACAATGGCTCCTGTCTGATGGATAGCTTTGCCCCCCTCGGAATGTCCCAGGACCATCCCTGATTCATACTCTGCTCTAGAGGCGGAGGAAGGGGACTGAGGTAAAGCAGGATACCATCACCCGTGCACTTCCTCATGTAAATGCATCCGGGCAATTTGGGATTTTGCATAAAAGGAACTATCAGTACTCTCAGCTGCCAGGACTCCCTCCCTGACTTTGGGGAAAAGACGCCTCAGCAGCCAGGAGTAAGCAAACATTCCATAATTAGATCCACGGCCAGGGAGCACTCCCACAGTACCCTTGGCCTTGTCCCCAAGAGGGCCAGAAGAGCGGGAAGCACAGAGTGTTGGCATGATGATGCCGAGAAAAGGCAGACAAGGCTGCCAGCAAAGTGGGGACAATGAGCAACCCCTTCTGAAGGGGATCAGAATCAGGCAGCTGACAAGGGGCGAGCTCCTGCTGTAAGCTCAGCCTGCCCACTGGACCTGCCCTGAGTCCCACCATACACAGCCCCAGGGAGAACAATGCTCTGGCTTCCATTTTACAGCAGGAGAAACTTCTAGAATTGACTATAAAGCTAGGTCCAACTGGCCAAAACAGTGAGGGGAGGGGAGGAAAGAGTGAGGGAAGGGTGCTGGGTCAAATCATGGCCTTTTCATCACCCACACCCTCCACACACATCTAGAGCTGAGGGAGAAGCTGGGCACAAGGACATCCAAGGTGGGGGTGCTCTCAAGGGCAGGACCTCCCATGATGAGTCTCATCATAAGCTAGTGGTCCCAAATTTGGAGGGCAGAGCCCTCTAAGAGAGGTCAGCAAACATTTTCTTTAAAGGGCCAGAGAGCAAACATGGTCGGCTTTGCAGGCCATATGGTCTTGGTCGCAACTGCTTAAATGCCGTGCAAAGGGGCAGCCACAAACAATGTGTAAATTAAGGATCACGGCTGTGGTTCCCCAACATTTTATAAAAATCAGCCATGGGCTGTAGTTTGCTAACCTCCTGGACTAAAAACTTTAAAAAGGCATATTCTAAGAAGATTCTGCTTCTGTGCCTGCATAAACATCCCTTTAAGTGGCGGCAGTGTATTCACAGCACGGAGTAGACCCATTAACTGGGGCGATACTCCATCATTTACTTTAACCCTTTTCCTCTTGTTGGACAGGTAGGTGGTTTCTTCTTCTTCTACTCGTTTTCTTTTTTGAAAACAAATACCCAGTTTTATACTTAAAACCTTTTCTGAATTTAAGAATTCTCCCTCAGAAGAGATCCCTACAAATTTCACTTCGGACCACAAAATTAAAGTGAATTCATGAATTTGAAGCCAGGGACCCCTGCAGCTACCCTGCGCCCACTGTCACTCTAAGTGGAGGGTACAGAGTATCAGTTTGATCCCATTCTTGCCACGGCTGCATTGTGTTTTTTTTTTCAATCATGTCGCTAATCTAGTGAGAAAAACAGTCTCTCATGGCTTCTAGGCACAGTTCTTTGATGACCAGCAGCCCCGTACCGAACTCTGCGATCAAGCAACAGACCAGCTGAGTGGACAAACTCGTTCAGGACAAGCATTAAAAGTCTACCGCAGACTATCCTCACAACCCACCCCTACTTACAGAAGAACTGAGCTGAAGGCTACAAAGGATCTACCCCAAAGCCACATGCAGTGAGAAATTCAAGTAAGAACACTATTCCTGGCCCATTTCTGTTAGCTGAGCACACAGCGGCTTCTTCTCTGTCCCTAGGGTCAGGTGCTGAGGAGAGCCCAGCCCCGAAGAAACACCCCGCCGGGTCCCCACCTGGACTCCATGGGCCCCTGCTTCTCCAGGGGTCTGATCTTCTTGGGGTACACTGGCAGTGTGGTCGTGTCGATGACCCTGGTCTCTCCACTGTTGTACGTGAACTCTAAGGTACCGTTCCATTCCCCGTGGGCTTTACAAACAATGGTGTTGGTTGGGTTGTGCTTCACTTCGGCCGTGACCCTGAATGAATGAATGAGTCAAATGAACACACTTGGCGAGATTCTCAAAACAGAGGCTCACACTTGAAAAGCTGTACTCACATGCAGAGATTCTTTTTCATGGGGTCGCAAGGGGGAGGGATTGCATTTTGCCATTTTGCTTAAAGACTAGCTCTTAAAATGTGACCTACTACTCTTGATCAGAGAAAGCAAGCGTTGGTAGACAAACTGGTGAGGGTCTGTAGGTTAGCTGATCGCAATGCAGCAATGCTAATTGCTTAATCTTGATAAACACACAAAGGTGGTGTGTTTTTTATTGGGGTGGAAATCAGGCACTTCAGTAGAAACAAAGTATATACTTCTCCCTAAAATCGCATTGAAGAGTGCTACATTTTAACCACCAACAGGGCCTGAGAGTACACCCACAACGGCGGGCCAAACAGGACTGCCCACAAGCGGCCTGAAATCCCAGGGAAAAGGAGGGAACCCTTCACCCTGGCACCTGCACATTCCTCTGAGCGAAGGCGGGGCAAAAACCTCGACTCTCGGCACTGAACGCCATCCTCCTCCCAGCAGCAGCTCCAAGGGACCACCTTCACAAGGGCCTTTGTGGAGGTCTGTGCCCTCCCCTGCTTCTCCGGCCTGGCCCAAGGGGGCTCCAGGTCTGCAGCTCCGGGAGAAAGCTGACCCCAGCTCCCTCTCCACCTGGAAGCTTGACCCGCAGAGTCGCGCAGTGCCAACAGGAAAGCCCGCTCCGAAGCAGCCAAGGGTAGGAAGGAGCTGAGCTCCTCTCTTTCTAATGGCCCAGCTCAGGCTGAACCCAGGGTTTTCAAACACAGGCTTGGAAGCTCTGTCCCTGAGCCTGAGCACAGCCATGGCTCCTGGGTGCCGAGGCCAAGGCTCACGGGCAGCATCAGGAATCTTCTGGCTGCATGCAGTGGAAGGCTGCTAGTGGGGTGCTGGCAGGGCTTTAATAAATGGTTCTCCCCGGGGAAAAACACCTGATTTGTAGCATCTGCCATCTTCGGGGGTGCCCTCCACAGCTGATCTCAAGCTACTGACAGGGTCTGAGGGACGGTGGAGCCGTGGAGAAACAAACGCACACCGTCAGCTCGTGCGAGCCAGCGCGCATGCCTGGGAAACAGCCACTGTGGGCACCCCGGTTCCCGGGGGGGTACCCGGACACCTCGCGTGAACGCCATTCGGAACAACACTTCCCAGGAGAAAGGGCCAAGATGGGAGCCTGCTTATACGGTGATCTGTAACCGCAGCAATAAGAACAACTTAAGGCTCCCCTCAAACAGCAGACTTTTCCTTCAATTTCCTAGGATCAGGCCTCCCCAGCTTCTACAGTGGTCCTGATTTCATAGATGATACGGGGTTCGGGATATTTCATGGAACCAACCTAACACGAAATGAGCTTTCAGGGGCGCCTGGGTGGCTCAGTCGGTTAAGCATCTGCCTTGGGCTCAGGTCATAATCCCACGGTCCTGGGATCAAGCCCCACGTGGGGCTCCCTGCTCAGCAGGGACCCTGCTTCTCCCTCTCCCTCTGACCCTCCCCCATTTGTATTTTCTCTCTCTCAAACAAATACAATCTTTTTTTGTTGTTGTTTTTTTAAAGAGCTCTCAGGCAGCGTCTGAGCTCACAGATGAAACTGCTTCAGAGCAGAGAAATGGGCTGTGGCCTCAGAAGGGAGAGGTTATCTTGAGAAATGGAAGCAGCTTTGATTCCCTGCTGTGGGTCCTGTGACTCGATCACCAAAGGATTTCACTGGAAGAGTAGACTGGGGAGGGCTTCAAAAAACTGCCACGTGAAGGGGGGCGGTTGGTGGTGGGAAAGAGGCGCCTCTTTTAAACAAGATCTGTTAACTTAGAGTTTCAGCTCCTCCCAGGGGGGAAAGCCCAGCTCCCTCTGGAGCAAAGAAAGTCAGGGCATCAAGTGAAGGCAGACACACAGCCCCTCGGCGGCCGCCTCCTTCCTACCTGTGCACTTTCCCTCCGTAAAAAGGCTTCGTGTGGAATATCACCGTCGCTGAGTAGCCGGTCTTCGCACAGCTGATGCTGACTTTGCCTCCGAGCTCCACCCAGGGGATGGTGAGAATGGAGCGCGCGTAGGCACTGGGCAGGGTGAACACGTACTCCTCCCCGTGTTCCAGGAGCCTCAGCACACCTCCAGGGAGACAGGAGGAGAGAGTCAGGCACACAAGAAGAGGGCAGCCAGGGATCAAAAGACATCAAGATGACAAACCCAACAGCCTCTGGCAACAGACATCGCGTCTCCCACCCCTGCAAAGGTCGACTGCTCACTGGCCACGTATTTAGTTATTCCCTGCCCTCCGGGTTGCCAGACCTGCTGCGAATACAACAGTGAGCAGACCCACTTTCTTCCTCCAAGGAGAACAGGAAGGTGGCCATTAATCACCAACTGTGACGAAGGCGGGAGGGCAAAGTGCCCAGTGCCATGGGAGGCCTCCGATAGTTGACCTGGAAACAGAGTTCTCCCTAAGGAAGGGACGTTTGGACCGGGTAAGAGTTGCGAAGCTAAAGAGGGGAGGGAAATAGTCCAGGCAGAGGGAAGACCATGTGCAAAGGGCCTGTGGTGGGAAGGAGCCTGGGGAGCAGGGAAGGGCTGAGGGAAGGGCCCACGTGCACAAAGGGAGGGAGTAGGTGTGCAGGCTGGCCAATTCGGCAGGGGCCAGACCTTCTTTTAAGCTTTGAAATAGCATGCGGGGCGCCTGGGTGGTTCAGTCGTTAAGCGTCTGCCTTCGGCTCAGGTCATGATCCCAGGGTCCTGGGATCGAGCCCCGCATCGGGCTCCCTGCTCAGCAGGAAGCCTGCTTCTCGCACTCCCACTCCCCCTGCTTGTGTTCCCTCTCTCGCTGTGTCTCTGTCAAATAAATAAATAAAATCTTAAAAAAAAAAAAAAAGCTTTGAAATAGCATGTAAAGGAGTTCTGCCTTTTCCTGAGAGCAGCACAGACCTTCACGGTTCTCATGAAGCTAGAGAACTCAGACGGGACACTGCTCTCAGCAGCCCAGGGCAGGCATTAGCCACACGGGCAATGTCCCTCTAGATGAGGGCTTCTCCAACGCAGGCTCCAAGCATTAGGTGTGGACAAGTCTTAGTCTTCTGGAACAATGCAAAATTGTGTGGGTTTGTCTATTTTCTAGGGAAAGGGGCCACGGTTTTTGTCAAGTTCTCAAAGGCTGACATGACCAGGCTTTAAATGCACCAACTCCCAGGGCTGGGAGCCTAGCTGTATCCTGTTGTACAGTTTATGTACCACACAAGGTGCTGTTCTGTGAGGGCTGAAATCCAGCCCTTGCTATGGCCTGCCAGGCTGGGCACCCACAGTCGAGGGGCAGCATTTCGCTGCACCCCGAAGCCCAGACAGGCTGGCAGAGGTCCCAAGAACCAGGCTACGGGCTGACATGTGTTCCGTGCAAGGAACCTTCGCCACCTCCCACTCCAGCCCTGGGGCTCAGGGACCTGCACACGGCCTCGCCTCTCTCCCAGCTCATTCCCAGCCTGGCAATCAGCAGGTGCACTGTGCGTCGCAGGAAGGAACGTGCTGCCCTTTCGCCCCCTCCCTGGTGGTGGCCCCTGCCCGGCCCCCCGTGGGTCAGTGGTGCCCATGTGTGTTGGCACTTTCTGGCTGCCAGCCATTCCTGCGGGCTTCCCACGCATTATGTCGGTTAAGTTTCACGAGGACTCCACTTGGCAATAATTGTCATTTTTAAGTAAGGAGGAGGAAACTGAAACTCAGGTTTCAAGTAATTTGGCTGGTCAGTGCTTCCCTCTCAGGCTAGACAAGCATCTGTATCAACTAGAGCTAGAACGTGCCCAGTAGAGACAGCGTGGTTCTTAGTACTGATGAGCTTGCCCGGGGGCCTGAGGACAGATGGGGCTGAACTGTACAGAGGAGTCCTGAATGCTGAGTTGCTAAAGTCAGCGTGAAGGCGCGTACAACTATAACTCAATTTACCCTTGACATCCCCTTACTCGCAGATGTGCTACTGTCTGCAGATTAACCGACGACGCTCTTCTGGAATCAGCAGAAGCCCTCTCCGTTACCTCCAGTAAAGTCAGTTCTGCCAACCCACAGAAACAGAGAACTGGCCTGCAAATCTGGAGGGACACGCTCAGGTGTGTGTAGGGGTCTCGAGCACCCCCAGAGTGGAGGGATGCTCACACGTGTGGGGCACATGCAGGAGCTGAGATCATCAGGGAAAAACAGATTTGTGGGTCACTCACGATCACGTGGGCAGGACTGGAGGACAGATATCATGGCAGCATTTAAATCTCAGTCAACCTCTCTCCCTCCTTCCCCCCGCCCCCAGGAGTGTAACTGAATATATGTAACATAAACGCACAAAGAGCACGGCTCTACCACCACGCCAAATATACCGAACATCAGCGCAGACCTCCTCCCCACTTCACCACCTTGCCTGAGCGCTCTTAACTGAATTAACGCATCTCCCTGAAAGTAAAGCCCCCAGGCCATCGAATGCTCTCCCGCAGACCCTCGTCCCTCCTCCTACGGGGCGGCGAGTAGCCTCCCCAGGTGGCCCGAGGCCCTGCCCTGTGCGCACAGGGACAGTGTGTCTGGCAAGAGAATTACCCTTTGCTGGCTCAGTTCTTACAGCTTCTCCGCAGGACCCTTGGAGGAGAGCAGCTGGGGCTGACACACTTTTTGTTTCGAAGCCCACTTTGTGTGTCTGACTTCCTCATGTTCGGCTGCTTAAGAAGACAGCCCAGAGCAGGTGGAAAATCACAGCTAATACCAGACACAGGTAGGACACCAACAGGCAAGAAGAACTGGAGAGAGCAGAGAGACAGAGGCCATCTCGGGCTTTCCTCTCTGCCCCAGTTCTACCCACAAGCTTCCAGGTGCTCCGGGGCCAGTCACATTCGCATGGTCTCTGGGCCTGTGGCAGCTGGGAGAGGACCCTGGGTCCCTGCAGAGGCGCTGCCAGGCCCTCAGCCAGCCTGCCTCTGAGGTCCCGGACAAGAGGCTTCCCTGTGCCCCCATCCCCGGCCTCTGTGCTAAGGGACTACTTGCTCATAGAACCCTTCCAAGGTGGCCAACGTGTCCTCAAAAGCCCCACCTCAGCTCCGATGCCTACGGTGTCCCTGGGTGGTCAGCCCTGCCAGGCCTCAGCTGGGAGCGCCCTGGAGGCTCGCGCCCAGCCGCCCAGCCCCCCAGCAGCCTTTCTGCAGGCCAGGGCCTCACATCCTGAGCTCCACTTGCTGCACCTTCCTGGCCTCACTCACCAGCGTAAATCTTGTGGTGTGGGGTTCCACAGCTGATACTCTCTTTACAACATAGTCACATGGATCCTGTGCCCCAAGTTTTCATAAAGAGCTGGATGAGATGGAGATCTCTGGGGGGGGGGCGTCAGGGGGTCCTTCCAAGCCCTCAGTCACTCAGCAGCCTGGCAACCTTAACTTCTCTGGGTCTCAGTTTCCTTATCCATGACACAAGGATGTGTGATGTACCTCACAGGGCTGTGGTGAGGAGCAGAAGGCGATTCTAGAGCTCAGCTAAAAGCATCAGCCTGGCACACAGCCAGGATCCTGGAGGCTTTATATCCTAACTACTCCTTGCTCTCTGGGGTGGCTTTCTTGGTGGGTGAACTCTGAGCTGCGGTATTTCCATTTGGGAATAAAGAGTGAATCACAAAGGGGCAGCAGGCTGCACACGGCAGGTGAAGAGATAGGTGGGAGGCATCCTCTTCCTACTCATCTTTAGAAAAATGTCTTGCAGGGGCACCTGGGTGGCTCGGGCAGTTAAGTGTCTGACTCTTGATCTCAGAGTCATGAGTTCTGTCCTGCGTCGGGCTCCACTGTGGAGCCTACTTAAAAAAGGAAAAAAGAAAACGGAAGAAAGAAAAAGGAAAAAGGAAAAATCTCTTGCAAACCTGAAGTCCACAGAAATCAGTGAGCCCCAAAGCTGAGTTGGTAGGAAAACACAGGGAGACCACACTCCTTTAGCTCTTCTCTAAAAATCCATAAATGTGTGCTTTCTCATTAATCACCTGCAATTATGCCTTCTCAGTCCTAACTCTTCTGTCAGGGCTGCATAAAAAAAAAAAATCTGTCCCTAATATGAAATAAAGACTATATTAAAACTAGACTTACAGATGGGCTCACAAATGAAAGTTCCTTTTTAATGAGCCTAAGAGCTCGGAGAAGCCAAAAAAATGCCAAATAATCAATACTTCCACACCGTGGTTAGTCTTCAAGCTGCAAGATTTCCATTTTAAATCCCACAGATTGATTTACCAGTAAACATAAGGCAAAGCATTAAGATTTTCAAACTGATACTTTAAAATAATTTCACATCCACTTTCATTCTGAGGAACCAAACTATTCCAGTAGGACGCTGTCTCTGGGAAGCCCCGAATGGCAGAAAGGAACTCAGCATGGGTCTGCAGGCCCGGCAGCGTCGGGACTCCCAAGCACCCAGCCAACCTGGCGTTCTCTCACTAGAACTAGCTAGAACTAACTGCCTCTCCCCACAAACTCAATTAAGAAGCCATGCCATTTCCCGGGCTCTGGCTCTGGAGTTTCGGGGGGGAGCAGGTTGCAAGAGCAGCTGAAAGTGCCTCGGCTCCCCCACAGGGCGGGTGATGAGCAGAGGGGTCTCACTTCCCCGAGGACCAAACTGCCGGGTGGACTGAACAGTGTCTCAGTTAGGGGTGTGAGTGCCAGGGCTGAGGGACCTGGGTGGGGGCGGAGAGCAGTCTCTGAGCTGGGACCTAAGTGAGTTCAAGGCGTAATGAAGCATTGTATAATGGCATTTTACTGTAGCCAAATATGGCACGGCCTAAAGGCAGTATTTTAAAAGATAAGCCCATGTATTTACATACAAAAATTTCCTGTGGACCCACTGAAGATCTAATTTTTAAAATGAGGGGGTGGAAAAAAACATTACTTCAGACCCAATCAACAAATTCATGGAATGTGCTAGATCAGGAGGAGGAATTAGTGAGGAAAAGAAAAACATCCTGGCTTCCCATCCCCTCAGCCCCCCAAAGGAGCTCTGAATACAGGAACGGGAACCTTTTGCTCCAAAATTTGGGGACTCTTAAAAGTATTTTCGGGGGGGGGGCCTGATTGGCTCAGTCAGTTAAGCATCTGCCTTTGGCTCAGGTCATGATCCCAGCGTCCTGGGATCGAGTCCCTCATCGGGCTCCCTGCTCAGCGGGAAACCTGCTTCTCCCTCTCCCTCTGTGCTTTCCCTCTCTCTCGCTCTCTCTCTCAAATAAATAAATAAAATCTTTTTTTAAAAAAAAGTATTTTCTGGGAAAAATAAGGCTCCTGGGTGTTACAGAGTGCACATTTAATTAATATGAAAGGGGGATGTAGCTTCTGGAAGGATCTGGGGAAACTTAAGGCCTCACAAGAATGAGCCAAGGGTCTGTCCCCTGACCCTTCCCTGGTCCATCTGCAGCAGGAATGCACTGGGGGTGGCCAGAAAGGGCCATGTCCAGGGAGGGCCCTTCCAGAGTCTCTCTCCAGAATTTTCTTTCTGATTTCAGCATTCTACCAAGAAGTTCTAAGTAGAATTTTCGAGCAGCAGATTCTAATTCTACTTCAGGGATGGCTACAGTGAGGGCCTCAGGAGAGGGTGTTATATGATCTCCCACCCACTGCATTAAGAGACTCATCCAGCGTGCCCAGAGCTGTGCCAAGTGAATTGAAGGCCCCAGGCCCTATCCGCCGCCTGTTGGGACAGGGGAGTGAACACCCTGAGACACTCTCACTCATCAACCACCAGCAATAAGACAAAGTGAAGATGTTGGCTCACCTCAGGGTGCGGGGAGTGAGGGACATGGTGGGGGTAGAAGGACCCACCATTCTCAAGTATAGTTCCAGAGGAGAGGAATAGAGGTCATGTATGCGGCTGGGTGAAGGAAGGAGCCCCAGCCCAGGACGGAGCAGGGTAACAGAGAACCCAGGGAAGGGGAGAGAGGCGCAGAATGTGCTGGAAGGGCCGGGCTAGCACGACAACACAGTCGGACAGGCAACACAGCTGTACACAGCCTCCTCACCAGAGCCCACTCCTGACGTGGATGGCTGGGGAGAGACTGACTTTCACTGACTGAGAATTCCCTGAATTCCTAGATTTGCAAATCTTCACCTTTATGGAAAATTTCCAGATCTTTGTCCAAAGTCAAGAATCCTGACTCCCGGGCCCAGAGACTGGGAGGCACCTGCCCTGTACTCCTATTTAAGAATCTGTGGTTTTGCCTTGCCTTGACCCGGAGCAGCAGGTATTTCTGCTGAGCGCAGGGGAATCCCCAGAAAGGCACTTGAATACCTCCTCTGTGTACCTGAACGTGCATTTGGCTTTATCGGAAGATTAGCCTGGCCAATCACCGACTGAAAGTATGTGTGTGGGGGAGGGAGGACGAGAAAAGAAACAACTCGTCTGTCTCCCCCGGCCTGTGCCCCCGGGTCCTCCCCGCTCCCAGCTCCTCTGTTCCACCCAGCATCCCTGGGGACGCAGGTCCGGTCCTGTCCACCGTCCACGGACTCGCACCTCACTCAGGGAAAAGCCCGGGTTCTTGTAGCCCCCGAGCCAGCCCTCATGGCCGGGCCCCTCCTCTCTGACCTGTCCCCTCTGCTCCAGCCACAGCAGCCGCCAGAAGTTCCTAGAACAGCCCCGCCTCACACGCTCATCCCGGGCACCCGAGCCTCCTGCTCTCTGGGCCTGCAGCGCCCTTCCTCCAGCCATCCACACGGCTCCTCTCTATCAAAGGCTGCATTCTGGGGGCGCCTGGCTGGCTCAGTCGGTTGGGCGGCTGCCTTCGGCTCAGGGCATGATCCCAGGGTCCCGGGATAGAGCCCCGCATCGGGCTCCCTGCTCCGAGGGAAGCCTGCTTCTCCCTCTCCCACTCCCCCTGCCTGTGTTCCCTCTCTCGCTGTGTCTCTCTCTCTCTGTCAAATAAATAAATAAAATCTTTAAAAAAAAACAACAGCGGCTGCCTTCTCGGGGAGGTCTGCCCTAGGAACAGTGGTGGCACCCACTCGCTGTCCCGCCAGCGCCAGTCCCCGGGCACTTGGCCGGCACGTGCCTCAGACGTCAGCTGAGCGGCGAGCCTGCCACCAGGAACAGCACCACGCCTTTCCCAGGTGAGCCAATAACCCGGCGGACTGACTGACCCGCCCCGTTAGAGAGCAGGGAGGAAACACCCTGGAAACAGGTCTGTAGAGAAGGTGCCGGCCATCTGCGCACGCGGCCGGTGGGGGCACACGAACGTGGGAACGGCCCCCAGGCTCCGCCTCCTCCCGCAAACAAACATTCCGCCTTCCTGTGATTCCTGACGTGGGAGACTTAGGATAAGGAATGAAGTGAAACAGGATGAGGTCTGAATCCGGATTTTTGTTTCTAAATCAAAGGGAAGACTCCACCAGTACAAACCAGGGGGCATGAGGTGGGCCTTTGGCAACTGGCAGAAGGCTGCCATCCCATCCCATCCCATCCTAAGGCCCCCCTGCCCTATCCCCACTGCTCCCCGCTTCCTCCCCCTTGCTTTATTTTTCTGCATAGTACCTCACACCTTCCCACACAACCAACATAATTTCATTTACCAGGAAAATAGAAGTAGAATGGAAGCTGAATGAGAACAGAGATTTCTTTTTGGGGGAGAGGTCTATTTGGTTCACACAAGTATCCATAGCCCCTAACACAGTGTCTGGCATCTAGTAGGTACTCAATAAAAATGCCCTAAGTCAATGAGAGGTATTCTTAATCTCATGGGCTTTTGGAAGGGCTTCCAAGGAGTCATGTACTCCCTGAAACTGAAGACTAAATTTTGGGTTGGATTTTTTTCTTTCCCTTTCTCGAGAAGAGAATCCATAGTCTCAGAGTCTCAAAGGAATTGTGACCCAGAGAAGTTGAAGAACCATGAACACAGACGCCTCAGTTTAACAAGGATTATTATAGGTTTCTTCCAACAATGAATAAATTTCATTCATAGCTATTTGCTAAAATAAGAATGTGCGATCCACGCGTGGTGTGATTACATTGTTCTTGCTTCAGAAATCTCTAGCAGAATCCAGAGATTTGCCTTGGGAATGTTTATGAGCAGATTCGGAATAGGCAGCCCTATTATCCTTACTGTCTGTGAGCCAGAACACAGGTGAGAATGAACAAAAATGTGTTTTCACAGATTTGGAGCCAACTCTTAATATTCACGCAAAGCTGAAAATAAAAATAGTACGTAAGGTGGGCCCCATACACGCATAATGTGTAAAGATCCAGGTGCATCCCATCTACTCTGCAACCTTGGCCCCACTGGGAAATTACCAGGGCCTGGTCCCAAAATAACAAAACCTGTCCCTCTTTACTACTCAGCCACCCCCAATCCCAAAACAAAACAAACACAAGGAATTCTACACACACAATCATCAGTCATCTCTCAGGGGTACCAACACCACCGTGTAAGAGCCAAGCTCCACCAAACGTACAACATGGCTTACCTTCCCCTATCATGGAGACCCCCACGGACATGCCCATGAACTTGCTTTTGGTCCATACGTGAGTGTTGACGCACAGTCTCTTCTCCTTGCACTCACAGTAGAAGCAGGAGATGGGTGGGTGATGGGACACCTGCTCGGCCACAAACCTCAGTTTGTAGCTTTTGGAAGGTTCCTCGGCCATCGGGTGTTCGTGGCCAGCAGAAGAATGGGGAGCAGTCCTCTTTGGCTTGACCCTGTCTTTGGGGACCTCCCAGGAGCAGTGAAACGTCTCACCGATGATGGGGTTGTAGGGCTTCTTGGCCAAGGCCCCCTTGCGGCCCTCGTGGAAGGCCGTGAGATAATACTCCACGAAGCAAATGACCCTCTCCTCCGGTGTGGCCCCAGCGGTGACGGCCAGCAGCAGGTCTGGATGCGCCATGAAGTCTGCGTACATCTCCAGCAGGGACCGCTTCTCCAGGATGAACGTGGGAAGCACCACCTATGTTCGGAAGGAGACAAGGTCAGACAGGAGACCCCGTGATTCCATGAAAGAAGCTGCCACCTCCATCAAGCAAACCCTGATCATGGCTTCAGCCAGGCAAGGTTTCTTTTGCTACGGACACAAATGACAGATCAGGGGAAACAGTGTCCAAGAAAACAAGATCGGAGACGTGGCTGCAGGGGTGGCAAAATGCCAACCTGCTTTCGTGGACAAGATGGTTCGGAGCGGCTCTCTTCTCTGCTCAGCTGGACTGGAACGATGGTCTCTGCCTCCCTCTCCACCCTTGTCACTGTCCTCACACAAAACCCTCTTTTAGGGACCCGGGCTCAGTCGTTAGGTGTCTGCCTTTGGCTCAGGTCATGACCCCAGGGTCCTGGGATCGAGCCCCGCATCGGGCTCCCTGCTCCGCGGGAAGCCTGCTTCTCCCTCTCCCA